ACATTTGAATGTTGAAATGAAATGCTAAATAAAACAACGAAAGCACTTATATAATGAACTTTTCTAACGAGATGTTACCCTAAGTTCAAGAACTTATTTGTTAAGTTTGAATGACTTTATTAAAGGGTCGCGCCAACGGGTATTACATAATATGCTATTCAAATGAATATAAAAAATTATTTATTTTGAGAAACAATTATAAAATACAATTCAAACTCGAAAACTATTCCTTTGAACAGACATTTAATGCCGTTTGTTGTCTCATATTCTGTAACTAACTTTCGAGTCTAAAGTACATAATTGTATGCAATTTTCAAGTCTAATTGTTTGTAGAGAATTTCTACTAGAAATCAAATGTTCACTTCATGTATGGGACACGCGATTCACAAAACAGTCAATTCATAAGCAAAGTCCACGAAAATCGTATGTAAACTCGAGTTTATGGCTCAGTAGTCAAAGACCATGACTTAATCAAACAATGATGAGTGCCTTGATGCCTTACCTCAAGGTCCATCCATCACGTAATGACCTTTTAATAGTACTCCACATCTTTCAAACAACTTTTATCCAATTCTTATTTGTTTAGTTATTGCCAAATAATCTTAACACTAATACTGTTTAAATTTATATTTTAAGTTAATGTGATTATAATTATAGAAAATATTTCACTTCAACACAACTAACAACAGTAAATTAAGAAAGGTTAAAGTTTAAAATATAAAGCGTTTAATTCCAGAAATACATAATTTGGATGTACAAGCTTAATTTAGAATTTATAGTCAAAACTTAATGTAAATTCAATAAAAACCCCATTAATCGCCAAAAATATTAGTACAGTAATTGTAGACCTATTATAAAGTATAAAATCTATTGTCAAAAAAGATTTCATCAAATTTTATATCCATTTATTCAAAGAAGACAATAGTCCTCAACGACTGTCCGGAATGCATGAGTTCGAAGGCTTCGTTGATTTGATCCAGTTTTCTGGTGTGAGTGACAAACTCGTCGACCATCAGCTTCTTATCCATGTACTGCTCCACTAGTTTTGGCACACTTTGTCTACTCTTCCAGCCCCCAAACGCCGTCCCTTTCCACGTCCTTCCGGTCACCAATTGAAACGGTCGAGTGCTTCGTATAAGCAAAACACAACATCCGTTCAAATCATTGCCAATTATTAGCGTTTATTTGCTAAATCAATACCTAATCTCCTGACCACTGGCGGCGACGCCTATAAACCAATTAAAAGTTTTAATTAATTAACATTTCGCTCGCAATTCAATGAAGAATAAGTACCGATGATGACGGAAGTGCCCCACCCTTTGTGGCACGACTCCAACGCAGCTCTCATTGTCTGCACATTTCCGATGCACTCAAACGTGTAATCCAGTCCTCCGTCCGTCATCTCAATGAGCACCTCCTGAATGGGCCGGTTGTGGTCTTTGGGATTCACGAACTCATTGCACCCGAACTTCTTCGCCGTCTCGAATTTGTCGGCATTTATATCGATTCCGATGATCCGTTTGGCGCCTCTCAGCGCACATCCGTGAGCCACAGCCAGACCTACTGTTCCCAATCCCCAAATGGCGCAATTACTGCCCGCCTCCACGTTAGCCGTGTTGAGAGCGGCGCCGACACCCGTAGAAATCTATTGAAAAACAGGAAAAACACTCTTAAAATCTGATCCAAAATAAGCATTTAATTCGTTGCACTCACACCACAACCCAAGAGACAGACTTTATCCAACGGCGCCTTCTCGTCGACTTTGGCCACAGATATCTCGGCGACAACCGTGTACTGGCTGAACGTAGAGGTGCCCATAAAGTGGTACAGTGTCTGACCCTTACACGTAAAACGAGAAGTCCCGTCGGGCATAACACCCCTTCCCTGAGTGACTCGGATTTTGCTGCAAACGTTGGTCTTAGGGCTCAGACAGAACTTACAATCGCCGCACTCAGGGATGTACAGCGGAATCACATGGTCTCCCGGTTTGACAGAAGTGACACCTTTAAGACATACATCAATTAGTCGTCACTTATAAGCAAATTGTTTGCATACCTTCGCCAACACTCTCGACAATACCGCCGCCCTCGTGGCCCAACACACACGGGAACAGCCCTTCGGGGTCGTGACCGTCCAACGTATAAGCATCGGTATGACAGACCCCTGTGGCCAATACCTTGATCCTAACCTCGCCTTTCTGTGGCGGCGCTACTGTTATCGTCTCAATAGACAGCGGTTTCTTTGCCTCCCATGCGATGGCAGCCAAGCACTCGATGGGCTGTTCAACACAATAAACCGTTAGTTTTAATTTTATGGTTACCCCCGAACTTAACATTACATACCTTTCCAACGGTGTCTCCAGAGCTCATTATCACTGATAAACAAATTCTTGTGATAACTGTTGTGGAAAAAAATGTGGAAAAATGAGTTAAAATGTATGCATTAATCTCACGATTAAACTAACAGTTATTTATCAAAAAATATGAATAACTGGAATATTCCTGGACTTATCCACACATTCAGACATATATTGTAGTTAGATTTTATTTTTGATTACTAGCTACAGTGCAATTAAATTGACGTCAATTTAAATTATACAGTATAATAAAGTCTATTCAAGTCAAATATCCAATAAACAAATCAAGTAACATATAGCAAATGTGTGTCCAATTGCACATATGATTACTTTAATTAGTAGTTTTTAACTGTCACTATCATTTCAAAAGTAACAAAACAAAAATTCTGTACACTTAATGTTTCCGGTGCTTAAATGTAGCTTGTTTATTTCATCCCTATTAGACAGCATTGTGTTATCATTTTTTATAATTTCTAAGTTTATTGAAAACATGTAAACATTTAGTAACTATCGATTAAATTGCGAAAAATCAATAAAAATAATCACAAAATTATGAATTAAAAGTGGCAAAGTATTAATAAATCATTTATTGGAGACTTGTGTCTGACTTGTGTTAAGATATAAGATCTGAAAGTTATATAACCAGCGATTGAATTGAAGGTCAACTCCAGCCTCGGATCACAAGAAACATGGGATTCATTACAATACCATTCATTCATTTCATATCAATTTAAAAGTCTATTCAAACAGTTATTTCAAATTACTTTTAATGTGTTTTTCTTAACAAAACTGTTACTTAATCGTCAAAATAAATAAATATTTGAAACAAATGTTGAAATGATTGTTCAAATAATAAGATAAATGCAGTAAAAAAAAGTTTGGAGTTTGACATTAGGGTTCAAAATCGAGAAATTACTTTAATTTGTAATTTTAAAAAACTTTTTCATAGCCATTGAACTACAATTAACTTTATATAAACATTGGTGTACTATATTGTATACATTAGTTTGTTAAATATGACAAAAATCAAAGTAATCATCAATGTATTCAATGTAAATATAAGTTTCAAAATGCGAGTATTGTATGAATTATAGAAGTAGCATGGTCAATATGGAGAGTATTGCAATATATCATGATATAGCAAATACATACCACGGATAGGGATTCAAAGTGGATGTCAAACGCAAACAAATAGCCGTGTTTTTGGTGATAATTAGCGATCAGTTGATGAGCGGATTCAGTGGGTGATGGTTGGGATGTTTGGATGGATTAGTGATCATATGTTTCGCGAAGTTAAGCGCAAACTCTGGTCTGAAACAGTGTTTTGAGACAATCGCTCGAGAAATGCATTGAATTGTATGGACTGTCGGAGAGTGAGAGCACTGGAGACCCATTGAAAACGCATGCGTTTTGTCTCACAGTTGTTTCGCCAGTGAATGTGTGCATTGGGTTTGAGTTGAGTTTTGATGTTGTGTTTGGCTTTCAGTCACTGTTTCTCTCTCTCACTATAGCACTGATAGTGTCTTATTTTACTCCATACATGAGATTTCGCTGAATCCCTTGCCTGAGAAACCCTTCAGTGAATGGTTAGTCTCCCTGTCCTCACACCCGATGAGACACAGCAGTGAACCCCGAGTGCACACCTGAGCCCATGTATGGTCGCCACTAATGAGACGATAATCTTAACGCCAGTCGCGAACTGAAGCAAACTTTTACCACTTCTCTCCTCCACTCATGTATTGATATATTTGTTGTGAAAGTGTGTCCCAGAAATCAATTGTCTCTTGAGTTTGTTTCGCTCACAAAACGGGCCTTTATTTCGGTTCAGCGGTTGCTTTTCGGCGGTCCTTATAATGTGCTCTCATTTAGTCTACAATGAGATCCTATTTATACTGACAGTCGTAACGCTTGTGGC